CTTAGGGGCAGGTCGAAACAATGAGGGCCTGAAAATGGCCCTCCGTTTCAGGCTGAAAACTCTGGGTCTGAAAAGACCCAGAAATAGGCTGAAACGGGGTAGGGCCTGCAGGCCCTCGTTTTTCAGCTTCCAGGCTGAAACGAACGGGGCCTGTAAGCCTTAAGTTTTAGGCTTTTAGGCTGAATGTCCGGAACGGGCCCTGCAGGGCCCGTGTGGCTACGCAGTATGCCACAAACCCAGAGACATCCAGTTCCCACTTAAAGTATTTCCCCGGGGGCATCAGGGAAGTTGCTTGCAGGGTGTCGTGAGACACTTCTTTGGATAGTAAAGAACTCAACACATGGATAATCTGGACTGAGAGGCAGCTGGGACTTCCCGGGGGGCACCAGGGAAGTTGCTTGCAGGGTGTCGTTAGACACTCCTTAGATGGTTCTTAGGAACACGGCGTCGTTCGACTATTGCTAAAAATAGATTCCTTAAAAAAAAGTGAAAACTTTCTAAGGACTAGTCACAGAGAATGTAGGTTTTTTTTGGGGGGGGGTGAAACATCTCAGTGGCGAAGTCTGCACTCTGAGGGTGATTAAAAAAAAAAAAAAAAAAAAAAAAAAAGCACCACCCAGATTGAGTTTTTTCTCAGTTGATGGCTCCAATCTATTGGTGGGGAGCGACACCTGCTGGAAAACGGGTCCAGCGTCCCATGGTTACATAGTTGGAGAAAATGAAAGATCTCATGTTGGAAACCGGGTCCAGCACCTACCTTTGCTTTGCTACATTATGAAGGATGGAGATAACAAAGCAGACCTTTCAGCATTGGTTGGCTGTCAGATGAATCAATCATACCTAGTCTGAAATAGAAAAACAAAAAATAAGATTCCCCAGCCAAATAGTCTTGACTTTCAAGAAACCGGGCGACGTCCAATGAAATCTCGAGAACCGCATTTTTTTTTTCTTTTTTTGTGAAAGCTATACTCTTCTCTCAATTTCACCTCACACTACCTACCTACCACTACTCCTAATTACCGGCTAGGGGACAGCCGGTAGCATCAGTGTTACATGCCCAGTTGGGTGATGTACATATAAACCGAGGATCCGCAATGTGATAAAAAGGACTGAATGGACAATGCAGTGCAAGTAGAATCTCAACAAGCAATGTGCATTCCGATACATACAAAATGGTGCTTCATAGCGCAGGGAAGACTTAGATACAAGTCCTGACCTGACCGAGACTGACCTCTATCATGTAATACAAGACAGCGCACCGGAATGCTAGAATACCACTGACTAGCCCAATCAATGTTGCAATGCAGACCAAACATACATCATGTTCATCACACGGTGTGAAGGGGCCTGGCGCTATACACAGGAAGGAAGCGCCAGGTCCAGACATACACAGACGAAGAGGAGGGATCAGACGAAGAATTAGAAGGGGGAGATGGGAAAGTCATCAACACCAAGTCTCGTTACGAGTCCCAAATAATCCCTCTTCAAAATGTCTGAAGTCCAATGTCGAGTCTGGATCCAAATGTCACCAAGCTCTCTCTATCTCTATCTCTCTCGTAGTCTGCTGATGCAGTGAAGTCAGATAGCGAGAGGGTGACAAGGAGATGGTGGACTGAGAAGAGGAAGAAGAAGAACTCTCTCTCTCTCACGAGCCAGGTACTATCCTGTGAAGCTGGTGCTGTGCTGCAGGTACCTCGAAGACGAAGCTGGAGCAACGGCGCTGCAGGTAAGTCCTCCTGGCCTCCGCCCAATCTCTCTCTCTCTAGTACTACTCTAGCTGCTATGGCGGCCAGCTCTGAAGACTTCAGCTAACGCTACTAGCGCCCAGCGCTGAAGACTAATGCTAACGCTACTACTACTCCTGCAGTGCTCCTCCAGAGTGCCGCTGCCGAATCCTGAAGACTACCTCCTGCCTCCTGAACTGCACGTGAAGTGCCTGGGAAGTACCTAGGAACTACCTAGCAACTACCTGCAGCCTGCAGGGCGGGCCAGTCTTATATAGTGCTGGCCCGTCCAGGAGGCTGCTCTTGCCAATGCCAAAACGTGCCAGACCCTGGGGTTGAAGCTCAAACAACGGTTGTCTTGGAAATAGGCCGAAAATGGCCTGAGCTAAAACCCTGGTCTGGTACCTGAGTTTCAGGGCAGGTCGAACTGATGACGGCCTGAAAATGGCCCTCAGTTTCAGGCTGAAAAGACTCAGGGCCGGAAAGGCCCTGATTTAGGCTGACACGACACAGGGCCTGTAGGCCCTTGTTTTCAGGCTTTCAGGCTGAAACGACACAGGGCCTGTAGGCCCTTGTTTTCAGGCTTGTAGGCTGAAAACGACACAGGGCCTGTAGGCCCTCGTTTTCAGGCTTTCAGGCTGAAAACGACACGGGCCTGAAAATGGCCCGTGCAGCCTGTTGCAGGCGCAGCATGTAACAATCAGGGACCATGCCAACAGGACCAATTCCTGTGCCTCCCCTCAGGTCCCCTCCCCTACGAACATCAGCAGACTCTGCTCCATGCCGATCGGGGGATCCAGCTGTTTGGGTATAGGGCGCAGCATGTCGAAATTCAAATTCTATTTTCAAAGTGGGCCAGCCCTGGGTGCAGCTGCGACACATGATGGCACACGGCACACAGCAGCACACCGTTGTTCAACAGTGAGGGAGACGTTGTCTGGTGTCGGAGAAGCATAGGCAAGTAGAAGTGGGCCAGAAATTTGAGCAATGCTACATGGGGCTTTACAATGAGACTGCATGAACATCTTCCCGGACGAGGTTTTTGTTGAACTCAATCCCAGCATGGATTCGCATACATGTAGATCCCCTCAGTGAAGTGTTGATCCACTCATGGGGTGCACTCACACCATGACTTTTTCTACTAAGCCCTGGAATTGATTGGAGTCAGATTCATCCAGGTCTGGCCGCAATTTGTCGCCAAATACATTTAGGATTGTTTTGAGTTAAGAAAAAAGGGAACTGCTTTTTTTTTTTGGGAAAAGCAAGGAATTCATTAATATAAACCTTGAGGCCGGGAATTCCTCACAAACAACCCGGATCAATCACCTGTCACTTGCTGAACAAGGTTCAGCTTCCTACCGTGGGGCTGTCCCCAACAACTCTGAAAGAAATTATCAACCGAGGCCAAAAAAAACATTCCTGAATCCTTGAACCCGTACTCTTTGACGGGATTTCCTTCCCTCTTTACCTATTCTAAATCCCCTATCCCTCTAACCCTCTTCCTAACCCCTTGCTTACCTTCCCTTCCTACCCAGGGTAATTCCCCCGTGGTCCCTGCCTATTACGGCAGGGTGGACCCAATGGTCCTCTAAGTTTCCTGGACACTCTCCCTCCCCCTTTCCCTCTTGCCTCCTACTGCGGATTTTAAACCGAGTGCACCTGGTTTGTCCCCTACGTCCCTCTACTGTTTTTAACCTAATAACCAGTCTGCATACTTTAACTTCCCTGTATTATCTACGGTGACCAGCTTCCCTTCCTGTCCCCATGTCTCCTGAAACCAGATTCTCCCTGCCTGACTTCCTCTGCCCGACGAGGCCTTTCTCTTCCAGTCTGCTGCCACCATTCTGCGAAGCATTTGTTTGAAGGTGGCCTTGATTTCCTGGTCCGGCATGATCCTTCCCTCAAACAGGGTTCGATTCCTTTCTGTCCAGATGATCCAGTAGCCTACAGCTCTTGCCGCCTGTGCTACGTACCCCCAGCCTCTTTTGCCCTGAGCATTTTCCGGTATACCTCCCAGTAGCACCCATTCTCTGTCCCACTTCAGGAATTCTCCTGTCCATTCCTCCCATTGTTTCACCCACCAATCCCAGATTCTTCTTGACGCCGGACAGTCCCACCAGATGTGGGGAGTTGACTCGAACGCCCACAGGCACCTTTTGCACTGTGTTTCTACCTCCATCCCTCTACTCATTAGCCAGACTGCCGATGGGGTTGCCAACAGTGAGGCCAACCAGAGCAGAGCTGCTGCCCTTGGATTCGGGGGTTCTGTTAATTGCTCCCAGCAGCTTTGGAGAGCTCGTGCTATCTTCTCCGTTTCGGTTGATAGAGCTCTGCTCCATCTCTCTGTCGCAGCCATTAGTGGGGCTCTTACCAGGGCTTGAACTTCGTATGCCAGCTTCAGAGAGAATTCATCAAGGTGTGCATGCTCTCCGTGTGGAGCCCTGCTCCTCCAGGCCCATTGATTTGGGTCAGCCTTCAGTTGTTCGATTGGCTTACCATCTTTCCAGATCTTCACCTCCCATTCCCCTTCCTTGTTCACTTTTTCTCTGACCCTTACTTCGGACAACCTTCCTCTGGGCACCTGGATGAATTCTTCCTCGCCCTCGACTCTCTCCAGTTCTCCTCTCTGCCCCACTGGTCTCCATTGTTGGAGCTTTCTGCCTCCCTCTTCCGACTGTTCCACTACTTTGAGGAAGGTTCGTGAGACCGTTCCTGGGTCTGAGCAAAGTTCGTACCAGGTTCCTGTCGGGTTCGGTCTACCTGGAGAGAGGATTTGCAGCCATTCCTCTGGTAAGACATTCAGTACTCGTTCTCTTCTGAATCGTGTGTATTTGGCAGGGCTGAGTCTCCTCTCGATTTCTCCCTCTGAGTGCCATGTTCCAGTTAAGTCGTTCCATAGGTCCCTGACTCTTGTTACCCCCCGCTCTATCCAACTTTTTCCAAAGCTGCCTGGCTCTGAGTTCGCTTTCAGCGTTTCTCCCTTCTGACATCTTATTCGGTCGTTCTCGAACAGGATCTGAGAGAGGACTAACTGTTCTGTATGAGGTTCACAACACAGATCTGGTTTGACCTTCCGCCACGCTTGTATCACCGCTCCCCAAAACTCCAACTTTACCCTCCTTCTGAGGAAGGAGTCTATCCAGACGCACGCCATACATCCGACGGTCGAGCCAGTTGCCACTCCTTGCTTAGAATCCTTTCCCCCAAAGATATCCAGTGTTTGTCGCCCAAATTACCCACCTGGCCAGCATAGCAAGGTTTCTCCTTTCAGGGTTAATCATACTCAGTCCTCCTTCTTGCCTAGGAGCACAGATTAGGTCCCACGCAACCTTGGACATCACCGTGTCTCCTTCCTCTGCGAAGGGGCGCCATATGAATTTGGCTGCCTTCCTTCTGACCACTGCTTGCATCTTCTTTCCGATAGGCCTCACGTTCCCTACAAATGTGAGTACGGCAAACGACGCCACATTTACTACGAGTGCTCTTCCAAACAGCGAAAGGTGTGGTGCTTTTCCCCAAGTAGACATTCTCTGCATCACCGTGGTTTGCAGGATTTCCTCTTGTCTTAACGTGCAGGACGTGAGCGCTATCTGCACCCCTAGGAATCTCTCGGAATCTCCTGAGTGAATCGTCCTCATCCCCCAGTCCACCGCTGGAGTGTACTTGCCTGGGAGCAGAAACACAGATTTAGACCAGTTAATGACCGCTTCTGATAACTCCTCATACTGTCGAAGGCAGTATCGGAGCGCCGACATCGACTCGTGCGTGTTCGCGGACACCATAAAAAGGTCGTCGGCCAAGGCCTTCACTTTGCAGGCCCGACGGCCCAAATCTACGCCAAGTATCTATGCTTAGTTCCTTATGTTATTTAGAGGGACTTCTAGATGTAGGACGAATAACAGAAATGCCAGTGGGCACCCCTGTCGTAGGGAGCGCGATAGTTGGAAGGGAGAAGAGATATGGCCATTCACCATTACTGAAGTCGACGAGTGGGCATACAACGCAACCACCCAATTGCAGAGTGATTCCCCCATCCCGATCCATCTGAGAGATGTTAGTACGTATGACCAATTTACCCGGTCATACGCTTTCTCCATGTCTAAGAGAAGAACTGCTATGTCCAGTTCCTCCTTACTAACGACTTCCAGCATCTCTACCGCCATTACGATGTTGTCGTAGATGGATCTTCCTCTCACGAAGGTCGTCTGGTCATCCTCTACAAGCTGGGGCAGATATCTCGCCAGTCTGCGGGCCAGTACCTTGGCCAGGATCTTATATGACACATTGAGAAGCGAAATTGGTCTCCAATTTCGGATCTCATTTGTGTCTCCTTTCTTGAACAGAATAGATATGATCCCTCTACATGCACTGAATGGCAGTCTTCCCCCCATCTGGATCTCGTTATAGATCTCTGTTAAGTCCTCCCCTAACATATCCCAGTGTTCTCTGCAGAATTCCGCCGGAAAGCCATCGTTTCCGGGGGTTTTCCCTCTAGCCATCGCCCCCAATGCTTCCCCAGCTTCCTCCTTCGTGATGGGTCTGTCCAGGTCCAGCCGTCCTTGTGTGGAGATTCTGATCGTCGTGTTTTCCCAGTGGTTGGTCCCATTTGAAAGGTCTGTATCCACTCCTTCTCCCGGTCTTCGTGTCGTCAGGATGTCTTGGTAATATAGAACTGTGTATCTGCAGATGTCCTTTGGCAGCGTTGCCATTGGTTCTTCCGGTTCGAAGGGGTGTTTTAGCTCCTTCATCGTTGGGGCAGACCTGGCCGGCACCGACTTCTGGAAGGTGTCCTTCGACATCCTGTCATATACTTCAAGCCCATTCACCTTAGTCCGTTCTGCCCATACTTCCGCCTTCTCTTGTTGCTTCTCATCCCACTCAAGCAATCTTCTGGTCCTTTCCTTTCCCCACGTTAGCTCTGAAATCGAATGTTGCTTCATCCTCTCCTCCGCCTGTTGGACTCTCTTCCAGCATCTTCTTTCGTCCTTGTTCCTGTTTTGTGCCAGGATCCGGGAGAAGACGTCCAGCAGGTTGGATAGGATCTTTGTTCCTACCTCCCACCAGTCCGCTAATGTGGCAAATTTCTCCTTTTGTCGCTCCCATCTCTTCCAATAGTCTTGTCACTCTTGTGTCCATTCCTTCAAATTCATGTCCTTTAAGTTAATGGTGTTTAGCTTAAAGTATCCTCTGCCCCTCGGGTTGTCCGGCCTGAACTTGAAGCTGCCAATGACTGGCTTGTGGTCCGAAATCGGGTTGATTCCCTCCGCGATACTAATGACCTTCTCTCTTGTCCTCCCACCCGCGAGCAGGTAGTCCAACCTCCTCCCCTTTCCTCGATGCGAGAACCAGGTGTACCCTTCCTCCATCAAGTTCAGATCCCGGTAGACGTCGTGCAGGTCGAGGTCCGCCATTAGGTCCACCATTGCGAGGACATCTTTAGGGCAACCGTTAGTCCGCTGGTTCGACGCTGTGTCCAGGACCATGTTCCAATCCCCGCCGATTACAACTTCGTCCACGTCTGGAAGTGACACTCTCAACTCCTCCAAAAAGGAGCACCTCTCCTTCCTTTCCACAGGGGCATAGACAGATGCTACCGCCCATCTAAATTCTCCTTGAGACAGGACTACCCAGACCCACCGGCCCCACAGGTCCGGGTAGTAGTCCTCAATGACTGCATCCAGGCTACGGTGGATTAAGATTCCCACGCCTCCTTTCGTTCCTCTCGCCGCCGCCCAGATTTGTGGGCCATCCCACCATCTCCCCAAGGTGCTGATCTTGTCGTTATTTAACTTAGTTTCTTGAAAACAGGCTACTGACACCTTGTTCTCGTGGATCCAGGTCTTCACTCTCGCTCTTTTACACCTGCCCGAAGTGTCCCCGAAGCCCTGTAGATTCCACATGGCAATTCTAACGTTGGCCATTCCCACTCGACGTCCCCTGTTGCCGATGGATGTGGGGTTGCATCGTTACATCTCCGCTCCAGTTGTACGCCAGCGCTGCCTTTAGAAAGTTTGAGTCCAGTTTCTTGTCCTTAGGGAGCCTTACTTTGACCTCTGCCAACGCGTCTGCGGTAATCATGAGTGGTGAGACCATTAGCCGCACCAACTCCTGTTTCCTAGCTTCGGCGAAGACGACCAATGGCACCAGTCTCAAGCCCAACGCCTCCAACTCAGTGAGTTTTCCCTCCGTTAGTCTTGCGTCGATTAGAGGTACATAGAATTTGATCTTGTTGTCAGTGGGGCCGAAGAGAATCCTTGGCATCACGACATCTGGGATGACTCTCATCGGGAAGGCATCGAGATACAAAATCTTTAAGTATTTCTCTATATCCACTATGTTCGGCATGTCAGGAACTGCATGGCCAAAGATCAACCAAGGTTCTGCTCCTTTCTGCCACGTGATGACCCACTGCATGTTCCGAATGGTGGTACACACCAGTGGTACTATGTACTGCGCCAGCTCCGTGCTTTGGCCTTTCGCCGTTGCAAGACGTCGGTCTCTCGTAGTTTTCTGCCCTGGGGTCCCCAATCCTCCCTCCTGAGTTATCGACTTCTCCGAGCCACTTCTCGACAGTCTTGAGTCCCCGGAGGGCTCAGGCGTAAGCTCTAATTGAGATGTTGTGCTGAGTCTCCGTTGCTTTCCTGGTGTGCGGGACTTCGATCTTCCAAGTGAGGTTTCCGCTCCTCGATCTGCCTGCCTGCTTCGTCCCACGTCCTCTTCCTGTCTTGCTCCGAAAAGCGGCTGAGGGCGAAGTGGCAAACGTATGCCCGTCGGCTGCCGTTGGTTCCCTTGCGGGTTCGGTATCCCCGAGGGTATTCCCCAAGTTTGTTGCGCTCCTCCTCCTTCCTGACCTTGCGTCGGGATCATACCCGGTCCCCCGAGCATCCCTTGCCAGAACGTCGGGTGAAACCCATTGGCTAATATCCATTCCGCTGCGGCACCTCCTTGCCACATCGCCGCTTGACCGTTTTGGCCCCCTAATGACTGCGGCATACCCATGTATCCCAACCCACCGCCATTGTTTTGACCTCCGGAGAGCTGTCCAGCGTGTATCCTTCCTGCCATGCCCGACGTTCCCGCCATGCCCGCATAGGCTCCTCCTCCTCCCATTGTGCCACCCTTCATGCCTCCTCCCAAGTGATGTCCCCCTCCCGTACCTTGCGGGGAGAAGGTCGGGTTGATACACACTTGTCCTGGATGTGTCGCTCCTCCGTTTTGTCCTAGGGTACCCGGTCGTGGTCCCAGCGGACCCTGATAGCCTAGTCCCTGGTTGCCCCCGTTGGATGAACCTGCCGGTGCTTGCTGTTGAGTCTGATTGAATCCCGACTGCGCTGTCCCACCTCCTCGGAATCGTGTTCCTCCTCCGCGTCGGCAGTCTTGTTCCGTGTGGAAAAACTGCCTACACTTTCTACACTTGAGCGTCTCGGAACATGCTAGCTTAATCTCCAACACATCTCCTTTCGCTGTTTCTACCCATAGGACTTCTTTCATATTGGATCTCGCTTCCAGTTCTAGGTCAAACCTCCCGTTGACCAACGCTGGTCTCGATGGATCTGCATCGGTCGGATGTGCCAGGATTATCTTTCCAATCACTCTTTCAATCTGCGCATAGATGAACGGCATGTCGTCTAGTGGAACCTGCAACGCCATGACCCAAAACATCTTGTCTTCCTCTTGCCTTCTTAACTCTCTGAACTCCGCCCTGGTCATCCAGGGTTTAAATAGAATCTTGTACGTGTCAGCTCCGAGGGTTATTTCCACTTGTCCCTCTGTCTTCATGTACTCGGCCACCTCCCTTGCTCTTGCCACGTAGGAGGCTACTCCTGGTCCCTCTATCTTCAGTCTTCCCCTCCGAGTGTTCTCCTGCAAATCGGAGTTACCGACGATCCAACCATCTTCAAACGCGCGGGCTAGGTCATCTTTGATGTTTTTAGCCAGGAATCTAGCCGCTTCCTTGTAGATTACCATCACCGTGCGCTCTTTGGGCCACTTGACTTCAATCTCGTCTAAGGAGGTGTTTAGTTTGAAACGCACCTCCCTTCCCTGGACCACCATCTCCCCCGGATCTATCTCTGTGGGGTAAACTCCATCGTCGAAACACATCGTCAGGAGACTTCTAATCCTATCTTCATCCTCCCAATAGTCTCTCTCTTCTACAGGGCCGGGAGGTGGAGACCTCCCTGTTCCTTCTTCTCCTGGAGTGTGCTCCATCTCCTTCAACCTTCGCTACTTCCTACTCCTCTTCTTACGGTATTTCTCCTTCTCCTGTCCACTGTTACTTCGCTTCAGGCTGATAGATGCCTTGCTAAGCCTGGGTTGGGGCGACGCATCCTCCGTCCATTCATCCACACCTATGGCTAGACCAACGCCATATCCACCCTGCGAGGAGGGCGTGTGGTGGGGTGACTCCAAGGCGATATCGACGGTGGTATCGTCTTGAACGACGGCTCGGGTTCTGCTGAGCCCGGTTAACGCATAACGGAGCGCGTAGCGCCGGTTACGCAAGGTCGCGCCCCAAAGGGAACTGCTTGTGTGAGTCGTCAGTATAGAGTTTATCCCCAAGTACAGCCTACATCCATTCAGCAAAGTGTTAATCCACTCACGGTAGGGCCTGGCTCCACATCCTAAATGCATCTGGAGCGACAAATGGTCCCCATCCGTCGGAGTGTATCTGGTCTGTAAAAAAAATCCAGATATGTGTCAAATGTTGAGTAGTCAGGCCAGGCCCATAGCGTCCATCCACTCAGCATAGCATATGTCTTGTGTAACGAGTTTCGCTCAGAAAAGCAGGGCGACTCATCACACCCCCTTTTTCACGGGATTGGTTGCCAGGGTCTATTGCTCTAAGAAAAAGAAAAAAAAAGGCGGACACAGCATGTTTTGAAACCCTAAAGCAGTGGGTACACCCATGAACTGTTGAAATACAGACCTGTGTTTGAATCCAGATGATGGAACTCGACGAGTAAAACCAACTACTAATGAATTGCTTGGGGCGGGTCAGCTCAATGATAATATCTCAAGACCATCGCCCTTTTTTAATTAAAAAAAAAAAAAAAGAAACCAACTACTAAAGGCAGAAAAACTTGCCCCGGCAAATGAGCAATTTCGGCCCAAAAGTATCCATTAGGCATTTTTTTTTTTTTTTTTTCCCCTCTGACACCACGGCCGACCCCTGCAAATATGACACCCGTTCTGAAACCACGGCCGTAGTTACTTCCATTGCCTTTTCGCACTCGGTCCAGTTATCTCTGCCCCCCCACCATTTTTTATTATTATTTTTTTTTTTTTGAAAGAACGCCCCTTCGTAAGCCCTCTATCCCAGCGGTGGTGAGAGAAACGCCGGAATCGAGGGTTTATCTACCGGGCTGCTCCATCTATTGGTGGGGAGCGGCACCTGCTGGGAACCGGGCCCAGCGTCCCACTGAACAACTTAGCAGTACAGAATTTTGCAGTTTGTTTTCGTAGAGCTGTGGGCGTGTCTTTTCTCAACCCGGGTTTTCTTTTTATTTGTTTGAAAGGCTAAGCCCAACCAATCCAATTACCTGTTGAATCTGGACAGGATGGCCTTTCAGGCCTTTTTTATCGCCATTAGATGAATCATTACAGTATTACTGAGAACCCTGTAGCAGCCACATCCGTGCTCAAGCCCCCAACGAGGGAACATGCGGGAGTTGCACCCACCAGCAGGTGCAATACCTGCAACAGCAGGCGGGCAATACTGGCCAGTAGCATCAGGACTGAGCTTCTTCGACGGGCCAGTCACTGTGCCTCCTCTCCGGTCCCCTCCCCCTCTATGGATATCAGCAGTCTCTGCTCAATGCCACTCTGGGGGGACCAATGGTAGATCTCTATTTGAGGTTCTGAGTGCTCCAAATCCTTTTATTTCTGGACTGTGTGTCCACACAGCAGAAACGAAAGGAGCAGCACCCCCTACCATGATTTTGCACACTCCACGAAGTGGAAGCAATGAGGACAAACAAAGCAAATGATTAGGGGATCTCCCTGTGGTCTGACCCCCGTCCTGCAAGGTGGTGGCTTTTTTGTTGTCCTTTTTTTTTTCAGTTGAAAGGGGGAGGCTTTTGTAAGCACGAGGAGTTTAGGCCTGGACCCCACTGCACGGTGGTCGGTTGGGACCTGGAAAAGCTTCTGAAAGAATACAGTGTTGCCGCGGTGGAAAGGAGACCCCACCACGGCACGAATTTTCGGCCACTTCCCAGCTGAAAGTTGCCCGATCAGGAAGAGTTGGCTGAAAGGGCAAGTCGACACCCGTTTTTTTCGCTCTCCGCCGCATCCCCTTTGTTTCCTTTCCGCATGGGATGGCTCAAACTGAAGAGTAGCCCCCAGCCTACCCTTGCCTACAGTGCACTTTGAAAAGACTACAAAAAGAAGAGGGGCAGCGGGCAGAGTAGAAACAAAAATCCTTGTTTTTTCAGAAGTATTGTCAATTTGTCACCTGTAATGACATGCCAAAACATAGACTGACAACACTGCTGGTTTCTGAGTTTTGCCGCTGGAATGTATGCCTTGCTGAGACTCCCTGAGTTTTGTTTTTATAGTCTGTGTGTGTGCGTGCTTGCTGGTTCGTGTGCCTGTCTGAGTGCTTGTCAGCCTGAGTGATGTGGCCCGCCGGGGCACTTGTTTGTTTGGGAGGCCCTCGGGGCCGGTACTTACCTGCGGCTGTGACTTGGAGAGTTGCAGCAGGGAAAAACACTCAAGTGGCCAAAGGGGTGGCGTGGGCACACTCAAGTAGCGTAGTGTCCGTACCGGTACCACTTGCGTAGCCGTAGGCCAAGCAGAAGATGGCAAAAAGCTAGAGGCCCAGTAGTGACAGTGCTAGGGCTAGGCGGGTACCAGTCAAAGTAGCCTGAGTCTAGGGCCTGTGCGGACGATATTACAGCCTGCAATGATGTTTCCCTCTGAAAGGGAGGAGGTACCGGTTGTTTGGGAGGCTGAGCGGCCAGGAAGTCACGGCCCAAGAGGCAAGTTGCCTTGCTACTTATGCAGGCCGAGTGAGAGGCTCAGCCTCATTTATGGTGTGCATGTATGGGAGTGATGCTGCTTGAGCGGGCACTGGTTCTCAGGGCACCGCTGGAAGGAGGAGCAATAGGTGTTCAGCACTAGGGAGAAGGAAAAAGGCCGGGAGCTCTCAACATGGCTATGGTGGAGCGTCACCGGTAGTAGGAGGAAAAAAGGGGTGAAGAAGGAGAGGGGCGACGTACTTACCTGGCTAAGTTGGCGCTGCTGCTGGAATGTGACACCCAAACCTCACGCCCGGCGCGACTTCCTGATTGGAGTGGGATGTGGGCCCGAAAGTGCGAAAAGGGGTGTGCCAAGGATTTTTGGGGATCTGGGGTGGAGTCCCAGGTCGGAACTGAGATCTCCTGTGGCAAGATTCAGGGGCATAGGTGCAATAAGGGACAGGTTCGTTTGTAGGGCTAAGGGACGGGTTGTTCCCGAGCCAGAGGCCGTAGACGTCGTTCGGCATAAGGCAGATGGCATGCGCGGTGCATCCTGGGCCATCCGATCCACCCCTGTTGGTTTGTGGCTTTAGTACGCGAAAGGGTCCGTTGTGGGGATTACGGCCTCTTCACATTGGGCCTCCTTGTTTGGACACGTGGCGGCTGGCGCCACACGTTGCGGTTACGCTGGGTAACTCCGGACGTTCGGGGGTTGTCGCGCTGTCTGCAATTCCTACACGGCGCGTGGGGCCAGTACGGGGCTATGGAATCCCACGGTACCACCGTAAGCCGATGATAAGGGAGAAGGAGTCGGAAGGGAGGAAAATTAGTGGAGATGACGACGACGCCGGGGGATGTGAAATAGCGCGTGTGACGGGCCTCCGGGTAGTCAGGACCCCGTGGGGTGCTACTAGTGGCGTAGTGGAAGTCCTCCGCACACACCTGATCGTTCTCCAACTGACAAGGGAATTCCGGGTACGATCGCGGAAATCCCCACTGACTTAAATTCTCACAAAGGGGAAATTCCATACCCATCCCAATACTGAAAGCGCCGAGTCCATCCAGCGATCGCGAACCGCCCATGTGTGGACACGTGTAGGCCGCGTTTATGGGATCGCACTCACACGTGAGCACACGAGGGGCCTGGTTGTACGCGTGTCCGTCGCCCGACTCCCATGCAAAAATAAGGTTCAAGTCCTATATACAAATCGCTATGTGACGGAGACAAACACCCAGCAATCCAATCATTCAGTAATCCCGTAAGCAACAAACATTTCCTGATCATGCAAAGTGACATCGCATCATGGTTTGCGCATACATCGCAATAGCATCAACTCCTTTTATTGGTCATTGAATAGATCAAATGACGAGCAAAGACAATGATCAGTTGACAAAAAGGAAATGACAAGCAGATCATTCAACTATCCCGCATACACAAAACTCATCCATCCCATCAAGCACACCAGAAAAAGGGGAGGAAGGGTCGAAACTGAGTAATGCACCAGACAAGGGCCGATGCCGAGAAAAAGATGTCAACAAAAATAAGGGCGGATCGCCTGAAACCGAAACCAAAACTTATATACCAGACTGAAGAAGACAAAGAAAAGAAGGCAAGGAAAATTACAATCTCACACCCCTCCTCCTCCGCTCTCTCTCTCGCTCTCTCTCTCCGATGCGAACAGTCCGTCGTCACGCGCCAACTCACGAAGTTGTCACCCCGCTTAGTCCTCCTGTGCCCGTCAGGTTCGCCCGCGCGCTACAGTCCGTCGTAGCCTACGCGTCAACCCCGCACATTCGACACCAGCCCGTCGGGTCGCCCAACTCCCACATCAACTCACCTCTTACTTCGCTCGTCAGCCGATCCTCATTGATCGCGCTACCCCGAGCTTCCAATAATTTTTTTAAGAGAGCTAACTAATCGCGTTGCCGAAATTTATAGCGTGCATGCATGCGCGAAGAATGTGGAATTGCAAAGATTTAGAAGGAGAGGAGGGAAGGAAGCGCCTACATTCTGCATGGCTAGATCGCGGCGTCGAATAGACGTAGCCACTCTCCACGCATCGACCCGATCATGCAGCCCGCGGGCTAACTAGACTCAGCAGAAGGAAAAGAGCGGGCGGGAAAAGACGAAGCTCAAGAAGAAAGATACGGTTACAATGGCGCCCGCCCAAGAATTACAGTTGCACATAAGATTAAGGGCGCCGGCTAATCAGAGCTCCGTTGCAGCCGCAAAAAGAAGCGCGCAAGTGAAGAGCATCGCGTGGCAAAAGAAATTCCGAATTCCTAAATTCCTATCTAATGCAAAAAATGCAAAAAGAACTTCAATAAGGCGCAAAATTCCGAAAAGAGAGTCTGAAATTCCGAGAGCCGTCGACGGCTCGACAATATTTGAAAAGAAATTTAAAAAGAAAGAAGCAAAACTCTCGCGCGATCATCGCTCCGAGAACCCAACAGCGAAAAGAAGTTATGTCAACCATTATTAATCGTGCCTGCGGCGATGCGCCAC